CATGCGAGTGGTTACGAATCCCATACCCATCATGCGATGGGTTACGAACCCCATACCCATCATACAAGTGGTTACGAATCCCATACCCATCATGCGATGGGTTACGAACCCCATACCCATCATGTGAGTGGTTACGAACCCCATACCCATCATGTGAGTGGTTACGAACCCCATACCAATCATGCGAGTGGTTACGACTCCCATACCCATCATGCGATGGGTTACAAACCCCATACCAATCATGCGAGTGGTTACGAATCCCATACCCATCATGCGATGGGTTACGAACCCCATACCCATCATGCGATGGGTTACGAACCCCATACCCATCATGCGAGGGGTTACGAACCCCATACCCATCATGCGATGGGTTACGAACCCCATACCCATCATGCGATGGGTTACGAACCCCATACCCATCATGCGAGGGGTTACGAACCCCATACCCATCATGCGAGGGGTTACGAACCCCATACCCATCATGCGAGGGGTTACGAATCCCATACCCATCATGCGATGGGTTACGAATCCCATACCCATCATGCGGTGGGTTACGAATCCCATACCCATCATGCGAGGGGTTACAAACCCCATACCCATCATGCGATGGGTTACGAACCCCATACCCATCATGCGAGGGGTTACGAACCCCATACCCATCATGCGAGGGGTTACGAACCCCATACCCATCATGCGAGGGGTTACGAACCCCATACCCATCATGCGAGGGGTTACGAACCCCATACCCATCATGCGAGGGGTTACGAACCCCATACCCATCATACAAATGGTTATGAACCCATACCCATTATACGAGTGGTTATGAACCACATAACCATTCCTTGAGGGGAAGCAGAAAAAGGTTACAGAGGCACACAAGGATCTCTGGGAACTGAACTCCAAAATTTAGTTAAGCAAGTTACAGTCTTGATAACCTAGTTACATAATTTAACATTTATATCACCAGTTTTTATGGCACGAAATTTGGTACTCTCTCTTCTCTTTCTGTTTTCCTCCCTCCTCTTCCTTTCTTCCCTTCCTCCCTCCCTCTCTTTCCACCCTTCACCCTCCCTCCTTCCTTTCCATTTCTCTCTCTCTAAATAAGGACTAGGGGTTCAATAAGAATTTTACTAAATTTCCTATTGAAATTGCAAAGAGCTGTCATATCGCGTCAGCTCATCTGAAGCCTGTCTCTAGGAACTCGTTTTTTGGTGAGATTTTCATTTTTTATCTTTTTATTTATTATATCACTCACAGGATGAGTGGCGCTGCCCAATACTGTCACTATGGCGGTGTGTCCACTCACAGGATGAGTGGCGCTGCCCAATACTGTCACTATGGCGGTGTGTCCACTCACAGGATGAGTGGCGCTGCCCAGTACTGTCACTATGGCGGTGTGTCCACTCACAGGATGAGTGGCGCTGCCCAGTACTGTCACTATGGCGGTGTGTGTCCACTCACAGGATGAGTGGCGCTGCCCAGTACTGTCACTATGGCGGTGTGTCCACTCACAGGATGAGTGGCGCTGCCCAGTACTGTCACTATGGCGGTGTGTCCACTCACAGGATGAGTGGCGCTGCCCAATACTGTCACTATGGCGGTGTGTCCACTCACAGGATGAGTGGCGCTGCCCAATACTGTCACTATGGCGGTGTGTCCACTCACAGGATGAGTGGCGCTGCCCAATACTGTCACTATGGCGGTGTGTCCACTCACAGGATGAGTGGCGCTGCCCAATACTGTCACTATGGCGGTGTGTCCACTCACAGGATGAGTGGCGCTGCCCAATACTGTCACTATGGCGGTGTGTCCACTCACAGGATGAGTGGCGCTGCCCAATACTGTCACTATGGCGGTGTGTGTCCACTCACAGGATGAGTGACGCTGCCCAGTACTGTCACTATGGCGGTGTGTCCACTCACAGGATGAGTGGCGCTGCCCAGTACTGTCACTATGGCGGTGTGTCCACTCACAGGATGAGTGGCGCTGCCCAGTACTGTCACTATGGCGGTGTGTCCACTCACAGGATGAGTGGCGCTGCCCAGTACTGTCACTATGGCGGTGTGTCCACTCACAGGATGAGTGGCGCTGCCCAATACTGTCACTATGGCGGTGTGTCCACTCACAGGATGAGTGGCGCTGCCTAGTATAGCACACATACGTACTATAGTAGCCCTCGGGCAGCGTGTATTAAGCCTAGGATGGTTGGCTTTTAACAGCAACATTAATAAACACACTTTTCTCAGGTTGTACTAATAGACCACATCGTTACGGTAAGTACATTCCTGGTAGGAGGATAGGCTGGTTGATCAGGTAGTCAGCCCAAGGGGAGGGACACGGTAAACATTGCGACACGGGAACCGGCGGAGAGCAGCGGTGAGGGGAGACACACAAAGGGGGAAAGCCGGTAAAGAAGATGCCTCTTGAATGTAAAAACAGATGTAGTGGTAATGAGGAGAGAGGGGATGTACCTTTGGTGTACTCGCCTAGTTGTGTTTGCGGGGGTTGAGCTCTGGCTCTTTGGTCCCGCCTCTCAACCGTCAATCAACAGGTGTACAGATTCATGAGCCTATCGGGCTCTGTCATATCTACACTTGAAACTGTGTATGGAGTCAGCCTCCACCACATCACTTCCTAATGCATTCCATTTGTCAACCACTCTGACACTAAAAAAGTTCTTTCTAATATCTCTGTGGCTCATTTGGGCACTCAGTTTCCACCTGTGTCCCCTTGTGCGTGTTCCCCTTGTGTTAAATAGACTGTCTTTATCTACCCTATCAATCCCCTTCAGAATCTTGAATGTGGTGATCATGTCCCCCCTAACTCTTCTGTCTTCCAGCGAAGTGAGGTTTAATTCCCGTAGTCTCTCCTCGTAGCTCATACCTCTCAGCTCGGGTACTAGTCTGGTGGCAAACCTTTGAACCTTTTCCAGTTTAGTCTTATCCTTGACTAGATATGGACTCCATGCTGGGGCTGCATACTCCAGGATTGGCCTGACATATGTGGTATACAAAGTTCTGAATGATTCTTTACACAAGTTTCTGAATGCCGTTCGTATGTTGGCCAGCCTGGCATATGCCGCTGATGTTATCCGCTTGATATGTGCTGCAGGAGACAGGTCTGGCGTGATATCAACCCCCAAGTCTTTTTCCTTCTCTGACTCCTGAAGAATTTCCTCTCCCAGATGATACCTTGTATCTGGCCTCCTGCTCCCTACACCTATCTTCATTACATTACATTTGGTTGGGTTAAACTCTAACAACCATTTGTTCGACCATTCCTTCAGCTTGTCTAGGTCTTCTTGAAGCCTCAAACAGTCCTCGTCTGTTTTAATCCTTCTCATAATTTTAGCATCGTCCGCAAACATTGAGAGAAATGAATCGATACCCTCCGGGAGATCATTTACATATATCAGAAACAAGATAGGACCGAGTACAGAGCCCTGTGGGACTCCACTAGTGACTTCACGCCAATCGGAGGTCTCACCCCTCACCGTAACTCTCTGCTTCCTATTGCTTAGATACTCCCTTATCCACTGGAGCACCTTACCAGCTACAGGTGTGTGTGTGTGTGTGTGTGTGTGTGTGTGTGTGTGTGTGTGTGTGTGTGTGTACTCATCTATTTGTGCAGGCGATGAGTCACAATAACGTGGCTGAAGTATGTTGACCAGACCACACACTAGAAGGTGAAGGGACGACGACGTTTCGGTCCGTCCTGGACCATTCTCAAGTCGATTGAGAACTTGATAGACTTGAGAATGGTCCAGGACGGACCGAAACGTCGTCGTCCCTTCACCTCACCTATTTGTGCTTGTTGCGGTTGAGCTCTGGCTCTTTGGCCTCTCAACTATCAATTAACTAATGTACAGGTTCCTGAGCCTATTGGACACTCATATCTACACTTGAAACTGTGTATGGAGTCAGCCTCCACCACATTACTGCCTAATGCATTCCATTTCTCTATTACTATGAAACAAAAAAATACAGAAAAACGCAAAGCAGAACGCTTTAAGAGAGACCAATGTCGTCTATGCCTTTAAATGCCCTCTTGGGGGCTGTAAGCCTCAAAAAACTCAGTATATAGGCAAGACAACATCATCTCTTTCCAGGCGATTAACAATGCATAAGCAACAGGGCTCCATTAAGGAACATATAAACTCTTCCCACAACCAGACCATCACCAGAGAAGTCTTAGCAAACAACACAGAAATCATCTATAGATACAGCGATAGCAGGCGGCTTGACGTCTGCGAGGCACTACAAATTAAGAAGTCAACACCAGCAATCAACAGCCAATTAATGCACAATTATATTCTACCCACTTCAAGACTCCGCACCAATATAGAAGCATCAAGAAATATGGGCCAATAGGCCCTTTGCAGTTACTTCCATTCTATACCCATTGTACCGTGTTCTGTCTTGTGTTGAAAGTTTTGTTCACCTCATCCAAAACTGTTGTAACATATCACCTCACCCAAATGCGAGTATATAAGACAAAAGCTATTTAAATGATAGCATAGTAAAACTCTGTTTAGTGTTTGCAGGTTATAGTTGTGTGTGTATAAACTAAAGTCTTTGAAAATGTAATAAGTTATTACGAAACGCGTCAAACTAGAAATAAAAATGAATTTTGGAGAATTGAATTTTCAATTACCATCGACAGTAAAAAGAAACATAAGAAATATTGAGAAAATTCGTGTTAGAATTATTAATCTTACTATTTCGGTCATATTTAATAACACACACACACACACACACACACATATATATATATATACATACATATATATACATATATACATATATATATATATATATATATATATATATATATATATATATATATATATATATATTTATATATTATATATATATTATTTACGAATAAGCTTCTGATTCTATTGTATTAATTTATAATTACCGTAATTACTCAAATGTATGATGTTTGGCGTCTTTATACAAGATTCTACAAGATGTGATAATTGTGTTTCACCAGGGTGACTCCCCGTTCGGGCGGACGGAGGCCTACATGAAGCTGGACCAGCTGGGCGAGGGATCCTACGCCACCGTCTACAAGGGCTACAGCAAGTGAGTGGTTCCTTACAGTGTTCCGCGGCCACCCTTGTCTACGGCCGTCAGTGTGGCGCCGGGCTTGGGCAGCGTGTCCGGGCTCTTGTGACGATGGCACGGGGCGGCGTGGTCACGTTTTGAATGTTTCTAAAGTACAGGATGCCTGTGGTCAGTTTACAGTCAGGGTGTGTGTGTGGGGGGGGGGGGGAGGGGGAGTGTAGTGTGGGGGCTGTGGGAGGGTGGGGGGGGGGCAGTGTGTCGGCTGTGGGGGCAGTGTGTGGGCTGTGGGAGGGTGGGGGGGGGACAGTGTGTGGGCTGTGGGAGGGTGGGGGGGGGGCAGTGTGTGGGCTGTGGGAGGGTGGGGGGGGGCAGTGTGTGGGCTGTGGGAGGGTGGGGGGGCAGTGTGTGTGGGCTGTGGGAGGGTGGGGGGGCAGTGTGTGGGCTGTGGGGGGGTGGGGGTAGTGTGTGGGCTGTGGGAGGGTGGGGGGACAGTGTGTGGGGCTGTGGGAGGGTGGGGGGGCAGTGTGTGGGCTGTGGGAGGGTGGGGGGGTGGGGGGGCAGTGTGTGGGCTGTGGGAGGGTGGGGGGCAGTGTGTGGGCTGTGGGGGGGTGGGGGTAGTGTGTGGGCTGTGGGAGGGTGGGGGGGGACAGTGTGTGGGCTGTGGGAGGGTGGGGGGGCTGTGGGGGGGTGGGGTAGTGTGTGGGCTGTGGGAGGGTGGGGGGGTGGGGGCAGTGTGTGGGCTGTGGGGGGTGAGGGCAGTGTGTGGGCTGTGGGAGGGTGGGGGCAGTGTGTGGGCTGTAGGGGGGGGGGGGGCAGTGATAGCAACTGGGCGGCAGCTTTACAGTCATGTGCTCCACACCTACCCAACTGGACGGCAGCTTTACAGTCATGTACAGGCTGCACCTACAGTAAACAAACCTTGGACACACAGCTAACATTCCTGGCTTTACATCAACCATTTACGAACCTACGACCGCAGCATTGCCAAGCCGCGTACTCCACCACTAGACCACCACTGACTGGAAAAAAGTCATACCACCGAATTCCTGCTGAAATCACAGGGAGTCTGGAGGCCGCTACTGATGCCAATCTAAATTGTTGTGCTTTTTGGAGTGACAAGTCCCGGTGGTCTAGTGGTAGAGTATGGGGCTTGGCGATGTTATGGTTGTAGGTTCAGTCGTAAGGGGGGGGATGTGACTAATAACAGAGGAAGAGAGAAGACGAACGCCAGAGGAAGAGAGAAAGAGAAAGGGGACAAACAACAGATGGAGAGAGAGGACAAACACCATAGGAAGAGAGAGAGAGAGAGAGAGGACAACCAAGAGAGGGAGGAAGGGAGAGAGAGAGGACAACCAAGAGAGGGAGGAAGAGAGAGAGAGAGGACAACCAAGAGAGGGAGGAAGAGAGAGAGATGACAACCAAGAGAGGGAGGAAGAGAGAGAGAGGACAACCAAGAGAGGGAGGAAGAGAGAGAGAGGACAAACAACAGAGGAAGAGAGAGAGAGGACAACCAAGAGAGGGGAGAGAGAGAGAGAGAGAGAGAGAGAGGAGGACAACCAAGAGAGGGAGAGAGAGAGAGGAGAGAGAGAGAGAGAGAGAGAGAGGACAACCAAGAGAGAGAGGAAGAGAGAGAGAGAGAGAGGACAACCAAGAGAGGAAGAGAGAGAGAGAGAGGACAACCAAGAGAGGGAGGAAGAGAGAGAGAGAGGACAACCAAGAGAGGGAGGAAGAGAGAGAGAGAGGACAACCAAGAGAGGGAGGAAGAAAGAGAGGACAAACAACAGAGGAAGAGAGAGAGAGGACAAACAACAGAGGGAGGAAGAGAGAGAGAGAGGACAACCAAGAGAGGGAGGAAGAGAGAGAGAGGACAAACAACAGAGGAAGAGAGAGAGAGGACAACCAAGAGAGGGAGAGAGAGAGAGAGAGAGAGAGAGAGAGAGAGAGAGAGAGAGAGAGAGAGAGAGAGAGAGAGAGAGAGAGAGACAACCAAGAGAGGGAGAGAGAGAGAGAGAGAGAGAGAGAGGACAACCAAGAGAGGAAGAGAGAGAGAGAGAGAGAGAGAGGACAACCAAGAGAGGGAGGAAGAGAGAGAGAGAGGACAACCAAGAGAGGGAGGAAGAGAGAGAGAGGACAAACAACAGAGGAAGAGAGAGAGAGGACAACCAAGAGAGGGAGGAAGAGAGAGAGAGGACAACCAAGAGAGGGAGGAAGAGAGAGAGAGAGGACAACCAAGAGAGGGAGGAAGAGAGAGAGGACAACCAAGAGAGGGAGGAAGAGAGAGAGAGGACAAACAACAGAGGAAGAGAGAGGACAAACAAGAGAGAAGAGCGAGGTCAGCTGGTAGTGAAGCAAGAGAGACAACACAACTGCTCGTGGCGGCGTCATTAAGATGGTGCGAGGCGTCTTGGACCAGCCAAGATGTCAAGTAATATCAGCGACGGGGACACGCCTGAGGAGGCCCCGGGGAGCCGGCTGTGGCACACATGGCACTGCTGCCGCGGCCCCCCTGCTGTGGGTCACTGCTGCCGCGGCCCCTGCTGTGGGTCACTGCTGCCGCGGCCCCTGCTGTGGGTCACTGCTGCCGCGGCCCCTGCTGTGGGTCACTGCTGCCGCGGCCCCTGCTGTGGGTCACTGCTGCCGCGGCCCCTGCTGTGGGTCACTGCTGCCGCGGCCCCTGCTGTGGGTCACTGTTGCCGCGGCCCCTGCTGTGGGTCACTGTTGCCGCGGCCCCTGCTGTGGGTCACTGTTGCCGCGGCCCCTGCTGTGGGTCACTGTTGCCGCGGCCCCCTGCTGTGGGTCACTGTTGCCGCGGCCCCCCTGCTGTTGGTCACTGCTGCAGCGGCCCCTGCTGTGGGTCACTGTTGCCGCGGCCCCTGCTGTGAGTCACTGTTGCCGCGGCCCCCCTGCTGTGGGTCACTGCTGCAGCGGCCCCTGCTGTGGGTCACTGCTGCACCGGCCCCTGCTGTGGGTCACTGCTGCCGCGACCCCTGCTGTGGGTCACTGCTGCCGCGGCCCCTGCTGTGGGTCACTGTTGCCACGGCCCCTGCTGTGGGTCACTGCTGCAGCGGCCCCTGCTGTGGGTCACTGCTGCGGGTCACTGCTGCCGCGGCCCCTGCTGTGGGTCACTGCTGCGGGTCACTGCTGCCGCGGCCCCTGCTGTGGGTCACTGCTGCCGCGGCCCCTGCTGTCGGTCACTGCTGCCACGGCCCCTGCTGTGGGTCACTGCTGCCATGGCCCCTGCTGTGGGTCACTACTGCCGCGGCCCCCCTGCTGTGGGTCACTACTGCCGCGGCCCCTGCTGTGGGTCACTGGTGCCGCGGCCCCCCTGCTGTGGGTCACTGGTGCCGCGGCCCCCCTGCTGTGGGTCACTGGTGCCGCGGCCCCCCTGCTGTGGGTCACTGGTGCCGCGGCCCCCCTGCTGTGGGTCACTGGTGCCGCGGCCCCCCTGCTGTGGGTCACTGGTGCCGCGGCCCCCCTGCTGTGGGTCACTGGTGCCGCGGCCCCCCTGCTGTGGGTCACTGGTGCCGCGGCCCCCCTGCTGTGGGTCACTGGTGCCGCGGCCCCCCTGCTGTGGGTCACTGGTGCCGCGGCCCCCTGCTGTGGGTCACTGGTGCCGCGGCCCCTGCTGTGGGTCACTGGTGCCGCGGCCCCTGCTGTGGGTCACTGGTGCCGCGGCCCCCCTGCTGTGGGTCACTGGTGCCGCGGCCCCTCTGCTGTGGGTCACTGGTGCCGCGGCCCCCCTGCTGTGGGTCACTGGTGCCGCGGCCCCCCTGCTGTGGGTCACTGGTGCCGCGGCCCCCCTGCTGTGGGTCACTGGTGCCGCGGCCCCCCTGCTGTGGGTCACTGGTGCCGCGGCCCCCCTGCTGTGGGTCACTGGTGCCGCGGCCCCCATGCTGTGGGTCACTGGTGCCGCGGCCCCCCTGCTGTGGGTCACTGGTGCCGCGGCCCCCCTGCTGTGGGTCACTGGTGCCGCGGCCCCCCTGCTGTGGGTCACTGGTGCCGCGGCCCCCCTGCTGTGGGTCATTGGTGCCGCGGCCCCCCTGCTGTGGGTCACTGGTGCCGCGGCCCCCCTGCTGTGGGTCACTGGTGCCGCGGCCCCCCTGCTGTGGGTCACTGCTGCCGCGGCGCCCCTGCTGTGGGTCACTGCTGCCGCGGCGCCCCTGCTGTGGGTCACTGCTGCCGCGGCCCCCCTGCTGTGGGTCACTGGTGCCGCGGCCCCCCTGCTGTGGGTCACTGCTGCCGCGGCCCCTGCTGTAGGTCACTGCTGCAGCTATGAGAGCTGAGTTACTGTATAATAAACATTTGCTCAGTGCCCTTTCCTGTCGCTTGCTCCAGCCGGTCACTCGTCAACACAAGACAACGCTCCCCTCAACCCATATTTCCCACGTCATAAATAATACCATCAGAGTATTCATTTTGGAATAAATGCGCATCGTGTAATGTGCATCAAGAATAAATGCGCATCGTGTAATGCGCATCAAGAACGAGAGGTATCTCGTTCACCTGGTGCCTTCCAAATTCCAATTAAGTCGGAGAGAAAGTTGGATTCAGATTAGCACATCATGGTACAGTTGGTAGTGCGCTTTTCTGCGGGTCGTGAGGTAGATGAAACTACAATGAAATTGGCAAGAAGAAACTGAGTTCTGTGTTAATTACAGGAGGAAAGAGGACCGGCAAAAAAGTCATCACAGATCAGTCTGCTGCCTGGAAGATCCTCACCTGCTTGAGCAAGCCCGTGAGCTCCTGCCTGTAGAGACCTCCCTGATGGGGGGGGGGGGTGGACCCATATAGGATTATCATAGAAATGGGTCCAACATGATAGTACAAGATACTACGAGGGTTGCGGGGTGGGGGGAAAGGTGAGGGGGGTGGGGTGAGGTGAGGGGGGGTGTGGAGTGAGGTGAGGGGGTGTGGAGTGAGGTGAGGGGGTGTGGGGGAAGGCGAGGGGGTGTGTGGGGGGAAGGCGAGGGGGTGTGGGGGAAGGCGACGGGGTGTGGGGGAAGGCGAGGGGGTGTGGGGGAAGGCGAGGGGGTGTGGGGGAAGGCGAGGGGTGTGGGGGAAGGCGAAGGGTGTGGGGGGGGGGAGGGCCGGGGCTCCCAGGAGGCACCAGGTGATTAATGGGACGACTTTGATTACTTTTACACTCAATTTACTCTGACACTCCCCTCTCGTGATGCGTTATTTAGGCCACCTCTCTCTCTCATGATGCCGCGGCCTCCCCCCTCCTCCCTCAACCCTCTCTTGTCCCCCCCTCTCATCCCTCTCTTGTCCCCCCCCCCACTTCCTCATCTCTACCCTTACCCTTCTTCTTGTATTTGGTATAGTCAGCAAGGCGGACAGTCCGCCTGCTTTCATAACTCTCACTGTATTTCCCACTTCTAAACTTCCCTTCATCTATGCCTCTCCATCCTCTTCACTCAAAAAAACCTCTTCTCCATCTCTACCCCAACCTCTTTCCCCGCCATGTCTACCCCACCCCTTCCATCGCAATCTCTACCCCATATCATGTCTCGGTAAATACTCATAATGTTGTTGTGGCTCAGCTCACACAGGTTTCTCTCCCCTCGCAGCTTAACGAACCAGGTGGTGGCGTTGAAGGAGATCAGGCTGCAGGAGGAGGAGGGCGCCCCCTTCACGGCCATCAGAGAAGCCTCGCTACTGAAGCAACTTAAACATGCCAATATCGTTACTCTACATGACATCATTCACACCAGAGAGACGCTCACATTCGTCTTCGAATATGTGGCAAGTATTTGGTGAATATGGTTCACGTTGTGGATTCTCACAGTCGTGAACAGGAAGTCTGTTAGGCTTGACATTTTATTATTATTAACCCGAATTTACCTGAGGGGTACCATCTTTAGTGGCCTCGACGTGGATGTGAAGCCAGCAGCTCGTCAAAGGTCCCGCCATTTGCCCTGATGATTTTATCTCTTGGGATCTTAAATTCCAGCAGAAGTCCCTTCCTCAACAGCCACTTCCAGCCAAGTCAACCGAAGGGCTTCTGTATCATGGTGTGTGAGGATTTACGTAGGAAACTCTGCCCTTAATATCTTTATCTTGTGTGCCCCTAATGATAAGTTTAATTATAATGACCTTCCTATCTGTGTTCAGACTGAGCCTACCATCATGATAGGTGATTATAACGCTAGGCGTAGGAATGTTGGTAACTCACAGTTCAGTAATCGTAACAACCACCAACTGTTGTCACTATTTAGTAATCACGATAATGCACAGGTTGTGGGCGACCTTCAACCGACGCATATCTATGGAGGTATTCTTGAACTGTGTGTCTGTTTCAACGTCTCCCACATCGTTTGTACCTCGTCAATAGTGACAAGTATGGCGGCAGATAAGCATCAAAAGCTTAAAGGAAAGTCATAAAGGAACTGGCAGAAGAACTATGCCTACCGCGGAAACAACTTTTCACAAAATCTCTAGATCAAGGGGTATTCCCCCCTAGATTGGAAATATGCAAATGTCATCCCTATTTTCGAAAAAGGCAGAAAGAACTCGGCAGAAAATTTCCTCAGGGAGGGAATCCTTAGGGAGGGAATCTTCATCATCTTTCTGTGAATAATCTTATACAATTGACACAACATGGGTTTATTAAAAAGTAGATCCTGCCTTACAAACTTGCTCACATTTTTGGAAACGGAAACCAGCTACTCAACATCCACCAGGACTTCTGGTGGATGTTGTATACATGGATTTTGCTGAAGCCTTTGATACGGTAGCACATGAAAGACTGACAAGGAAATTACAGGCCCGTGGAATAAATGGTAAAATATTAGAATGGATAAAACAATGAATGGTTGAAGGAAAGAAAACAAATGGTCGCGTGCCTAATGGGAACAAATCTGAATGGAGAAATGTGATAAGTGGGATACCACAGGAGTCCATTTTGGGGGGCCAACCCGTTTTGTTATATACAGTACATCAATGACATAGATGCGAATATTACAAACCACATCCTCAAATTTGCAGATGACACAAAAATTTATGGTAACGTGGGAAATGATAACGATATTGAAGCCTTACAAAGAGATCTATACGAACTCCACAAATGGTCAGAAGATTGGCAAATCCTTGTTAATATCAACAAATCATATTAATAACTTGTTAATAATATTAATAACAAATCAATAACTTGGTTGGTCTCATCAGATAAAGGTCCTACAGAGTCCTTTGTTATGGTTTCACCCTGCATGTGGAGCACAACAACCCGTGCCACAACTACCAAATTAATGGCGTCACCCAACAGCAGATTGGTGAAGAAAGGAACCTTGGAGTCAAAATACATAACTCACTGAAAATTGCACCTCAGGCGGGAGCAACAGTCACAAAAGCTAACCAATCCCTTGGAATATTCGAGAGTACTTTTAATTTTAAGGAAAAGAAGGTAATGAATCAACTGTATAAATCTTTGGTGCACCCCAGGAGGCCTGGTCGACGACCGGGCCGCGGAGACACTAAGCCCCGGAAGCACCTCAAGGTAACCCCCATTTGGATTACTGTATGAAAGCATGGAGACCTCGTTTTCAGAAGGACATAGCTGCTCTGGAGAAAGTGCAACATCGGGCAACAAAAGTCACTCCAGAGTCAAGTCATCCCTCGTATCAGGAACGGATTTAAGGCCACAGGGCTAATAACACTGCAAACCAGGCATGACAGGGCAGATCTCATTGAAACGTTTAAAATGCTGAACAAGTTAAGGATGTTGATCCGGACAGTTTCATCAAAAGGTCAGATGTAATACAGTACTGTACAAACAAGGAGCAACGGTTTCGAGCTCAACAAGCCACAATGTAGAACTGAGAACAGGAGATGCTTTTTCACCCACAGGGTTAACCCATGGAACCGCCTACCCGCCAAAGCCGTAAATGCCATAACTGTTAAATCTTAAAATCTATCTGGAAAAGATCAAGGCAAATTTGGGACCTCCGACAAGCCACCGGCTTCTTGTCCTCATCGAGGCCACTAGGGTTAGTGGCCCTCAGGTAAAGCTCTATCCTCCTCGGTGGAATGTTCAAGCGGAAAAGGCTGGCTGTACCCATCGATCAACAGGACAATTTTGTTGCTCATCTATCAGAATGGTACAATTTCTTTGAGCCTTCTTCAGTTTAAGATTTTATCAATGAACTCACAGGTACTACCGAACAGTTCCTCAATCTTCTGCAAGGTAATGTTGTTAATTTGGTAGTTGTGATGTGCATTTTATTTCTCCCTTCCCCAGGTGCAAGATCTTGCATTTTCACTAACTACTTTATCATAAATCAGAGTGTCATCTGCAAATTTAATAATGTGGGTTGATATTGATGATAATATTCTCATCTATGTCATCTATTCAGATGCATCTTTGATTTCAGGAAGCAGGTAGTTATTCAACTGTATAAATCTCTACGGCACTTGGATTATTGTATCCAAACATGGAGACCTCATCTTCAGAAAGACATATCTGCTTTGGAGAAAGTTCAACACTAGGTGACAAAAAAATCATTCCCGAACCACGTCAACTTTAATACCAGGAATGGTCGAGGGCCACAGAGCAAACAACACTGCAAACCATATATGACAGGACTAATCTCATCGTAACTTTTAAAATATTGACAGCTTGGAGGATATTAATCCAGACCACTTTTTCAAAAGGTCAGATGTAACAAGGACAAGGATTTATTTTTAACTAAACCATGTTGCATTGATTTTACAAGATTATTCATGGCGAGATTGTGGATGATTCCCTCCATGAGCTTGCAGAGATGTGAGGTCAAGCTGATCGGTTGGTAGTTTTCTGCTAAGCTCTTTCTGCCTATTTTGAAAATAAGGTAATATTTGTATCTCCCTTGGCCCAGAGATGTTCTGAAAATGTTTCAGTAATAGGCCTAGTTTATCTGCCAGTTCCTTAACTTTGGATTGCATTTCATCCACACCTGTGGGCTTTTGAATCTTTCATATTGTCAATGCTTTTCCTGATTATATCGCATGTTATGGGGACATATTTTAATTCATTCTCTTCACCTGCCTGAAACATTTGATTGGATAATGGGATGTTGTCTAAACACTCTAGCACGAACACTGATGTAAAATATTCAGTGTTGACTGGCTTCTTATTGTCAATTATACTTAGTTGGGCTCGTCAGTTCAAAGTCCTACCGAGTCCTTTGTTTTGGTTTCACTTCTTGTATAGGCAAAGAAAGACTTTGGATCTTCCTTTATATTTCGAGCAAGTGTTCTTTCGTAGTTTGTTGATCTGATCTGATTTCCTGTGTGGCTGAATTTAAGGCCGTTTTGTATATTTCATAATCTAATCGTTTTCATAATCAGCCGCGGGGACGCTAAGCCCCGGAAGCACCTCAAGGTAACCTCAAGGTAATCTATATTGTTCTTTGAGGATTGATACCTGCTCCAGAGGTTGCATTATTTATTAGAGCTCTTTTTTTTTACTGCCTATGTCATCCATATTTGCACATGTATGAATCATAATTTAATTGAAACTTTTCCCAATAGCACACAGACCTGTCCCAATACCTCGAGAAACATGGTGGAGGTCTTCATCCCCGAAATGTAAAGCTGTTTCTTTTTCAACTGCTACGGGGTCTGTCCTATTGCCACCGTCGACGAATCCTCCACAGAGACATCAAGCCACAAAATCTTCTTATATCTGAAATTGGTGAACTTAAGATAGCAGACTTTGGTAAGTTTTGATTTAAAGATAAGGAACTGTGTACAGTATTGGGTTAGACTAATTTCAGAAAGAGGTAGATGGTATGTTAAAGAATTGAACATGCAATATGGTATAATTCATGTTAAAATTTAGAATTGTGCTGAAATACAATATTATATTGCCGTCTTTTATTATCTAAAGGATAAAATAAGGAAACATACCTTGTGACACACAGTGTTTGCTTTGTTCATTTATAGCATATATGCATACAAATAATGTTTTGTACAGTTCAGTATATGCAATATAAAATATAAATACTTTGTTATACTGTACAAAAATTAATTCTTAGCACTATTTGCAGGTCTTGCACGAGCTAAATCTGTTCCATCTCACACATACTCTCACGAAGTGGTGACACTATGGTATCGGCCGCCTGATGTGTTGTTAGGCTCCACTGACTACTCCACCTCACTGGACATGTGGGGAGTTGGCTGCATCTTCACAGAAATGATCACTGGAGTGCCTGCCTTTCCCGGGGTTAGAGATATACAGGACCAACTAGATAAAATATTTAAGGTGTGTATTGTTGACAGTGTTGACTTATTTTTTTTCAAATGAACTCCTTGCCTTGTGTAAAATGTGCATCTTTATCATTAGTGTAGATGTAAGGGAAAAGTCAACTAGGAATGAAAATATTCTAGATCTGATCTTCACAAACAATGAAAAAATAATCAGGGACATTACAATCACAGATACCACATTCTCAGATCACAAGCTTATTGAAGTGCAAATCAGTACTGTACTCGTAAAAGGCCTAAAAAATTATCAAGCAAGAGGTGTTATTCAATAAGTTAAATTTGAATAATAAAATAATAATAATAATTTTTATTTAGGTAAGGTACATAAGGAGATTTTACAAAGTTTGTTGGGTTAATAGATAGAGCTAGTACATACAATGCCTAAAGCCACTATTACGCAAAGCGTTTCGGGCAGGAAAAACATTAATGACTAAAGCTTAAAACTAATGGGTAAAAAGAATAAAATGTGTTGAGAACAAAATAAAAATAGAGGTAAAAGAGGGGGGAACATGGTTGAAAAAGCAGCACAAATACAATTACAAATTATTACAGAAAATTACTCAAACAGCGTTGTTTTGAAAACAAAACAAAAAACATACATGGGTTGACAACAGAGGGGTAAGGTAGGTTACAGGGAATTTATTAGGTAGTGCTTCGTTTTTATCTTAAACTGGTTGAGAGAGGTACTGTCTTTAACATGGTTGGGAAGATCATTCCACATTCTGGGTCCCTTGATTTGTAGAGCATTTCTAGTATGATTAAGTCGTACTCTAGGAATATCAAAACTGTATTTATTTCTGGTGTGGTGCTCATGGGTTGTTACAACCTTCAATGAATCTTTTGAGGTCAGGATTGGCATTACAGTTCAGGGTTTTATATATGTATAATACACATGAGAGAATCTGCAATGACTTAATATCTAACATATTCAGAGATTTGAGTAGGGGTACTGAGTGATGTCTGGGGCTAGAGTTGGATATTGTCCTAATAGCAGCTTTGTGTTGAGTAATTAGAGGACGTAAATGATTTTGGGTAGTAGAACCCCAAGCACAAATGCCATAGTTGAGATATGGATAGATGAGGGAGTAATGGAGAGTCACCAGGGCAGGGCGGGGTACATAATATCTGATCTTATTATTATTTTTTATTATTATTATTTATGCATATACAAGAATGTACATAAGGAATGTGAGGATACAAATATGGTAATTACAGTCTTGTAAAGCCACTAGCACGCGCAGCGTTTCGGGCAGGTCCTTAATCTAAGAAAATTTTAAGGAGGTAAATACTTGCAAAATTATAGACAAAAAATGATAACAGATTACATGAAATGAAAAAAAAGATGAGAGAAAATTGTAGGTACAGTATATTAAAGCACATAGGTAGCTAAGATTGATTGCAATGACAGCTTGAATGGTAGTTGACAAAAAAATTGGTAGGCATAATACAGCAGAAACAATATAAGATTGGTTGCAATGACAGCTTGAATGGTAGTTGACAAAAATTGGTAGTCACAATACAGCATATGGCTAGCACATAAAAGAAGACAGCAATGAACACAATGATAAGGTTGTTTGAAATTACATAAAAATTAGGAGATTGGGTAACACTAGGTACAGAGCAAATTTAAAGCTCAGTGTAGGAAAACTAAGAAGATGAAGTTAGGTACTTTTTGGTTTTGCTTTTAAATAAGGCAAAAGTTTTACAGTTTTTCAATTCACTAGGGAGTGAGTTCCATAAACTAGGTCCCTTAATTTGCATAGAGTGTTTACACAGATTAAGTTTGACCCTGGGGATATCAAAGAGATATTTATTTCTAGTGTGGTGATAATGGGTCCTATTACATCTGTCCAGGGAGAGTTTCAGAGCATGGTTTGCATTTAAGAACAGGGTTTTGTAAATGTAGTTGACACAAGAGAATGTGTGGAGGGAGTTAATATTTAGCAAGTTTAGGGATTTAAACAAGGGAGCTGAGTGTTGTCTGAAAGCTGAGTTAGTTATCATTCTGATAGCAGATTTTTGCTGTGTGATGATGGGCTTAAGGTGGTTTGCAGTGGTAGACCCCCATGCACAGATACCATAATTAAGATAGGGGTAAATTAGTGCATAATATAGTGAGAGGAGAGCAGAGTTAGGAACATAATATCTGATTTTGGAGAGTATACCAACTGTCTTAGAGACTTTCTTAGTTATGTGTTGAATGTGGGTGCTGAAGTTGAGTCTCTTGTCTAGGAATAGGCCAAGAAACTTGCCATCATCTTTATTACTGATGTTAATGTTGTCTATCTGTAGCTGAATTGCATTTGATGATTTGCTTCCAAATAAGATGTAGTAAGTCTTTTCGATGTTTAATGTTAGTTTGTTCGTTGACATCCATAAGTGGACTTTTTTTAATTCATTATTCACAACATTATTTAGTGTATGTGGGTTGAGGTTTGAATAGATAAGAGTAGTATCGTCAGCAAACAGTATAGGTTTGAGAATAATAGAGACATTAGGCAGATCGTTTATATATATAAGAAATAGAAGAGGTCCTAAGATGCTGCCCTGTGGCACTCCAACGGTAATTGGTAGAGTGGACGAAGTTGTATCATTGATGGTTACATATTGGTGTCTGTCACTAAGATAGGATCGGATGTAGTCAAGGGCAAGGCCTCGGATTCCATAATGCTGGAGTTTAAGTAAGAGGTAGTTGTGATTAACAGTATCAAAGGCTTTTCTTAGGTCAATGAAGAGTCCAATCGGAAACTCATTTTTGTCAAGGGCTGAGTAGATAACGTCAAGGAGACTAATGATTGCATCGTTGGTGCTCTTTTGGGACCGGAAGCCAAACTGGCAGGGGCTGAGTATGTCGAATTTTACGAGGTAGGAATAGAGCTGTTTGTAAATAATTTTTTCAAATATTTTTGATAGAATGGGTAGATTTGATATTGGTCTATAATTGTTTATGTCCGCCGGATTGCCTCCTTTATGGACTGGCGTTACTCTTGCTTTTTTGAGGATATCAGGGAAGGTGTGACACTCTATAGATTTGTTGAACAGTAGTGCTATGGGTGGGGCAAGGGCATGGGAGGCTCTCTTGTACACAATGGACGGAATTTCACTGGTGTTCCCTGCCTTGGTTTTTAGAGAGTGTATGATGGACACAACATCTGCCGGGCTGATTGGTGAAAGGAGAAGAGAGTTTGGATAGCTGCCTGAGAGATATGTGTTAATATGTGTCTGAGTCTGTGGGATTTTACTGGCAAGATTAGCACCAACCGATGAAAAGAAACTATTAAATTCATTTGCCATTTCTAAATCAGTTGACGGTCCTCGATCTTAGAAAGAATGCCAACAGTTTTTGAAACTTTTTTTGATATATTTAGAATGTGTCCCTGGAAATTCAGCTTGTGGTCGATGAGAACGCCAAGGAATTTGCCATCTAATTTGTTACAAATTTGGGTATTGTTTATTTTGAGATTTATATGATTAGAGGATTTATTGCCAAACAGAATATAAAACGTTTTGTCAATGTTAAGGGTGAGTTTGTTGGCAGTTAGCCAAAGATGGACTTTCTCTAGCTCAGTATTTACTGTGGCATTTAGAGCAAGCATATTAACACCAAGTAAGGCTTCCAGCACTTCCACTAACACGATAACATCATTTATATTTGCCAACATCCAGGGTATAAAAACACGCAAAACCAACAAAGTTCAATTTATAGATGGTCTCCTTCATGAGGCAAATGCAGTGTTTGCAGCCCTAACAGAAACCCACACAAAGGACTACCATGATGGTGAAATATGGATCTCAGAGTACAATCTTTTCAGATGTGATAGGAAACACCGGCTTCAGGGTGGGGTCAGCCTCTACATCAAAGACACACTCATCTGTACTGAGCTGCTAAACACCTCAAATGATATGGTGGAAGTGCTGATAATCAAAATAGAGATTCTAAATGTAGTTATTGTCTTTGTATATAAGTCACCGGAGGCAAACCCTCAGCAGTTTAAAGAGCAACTAATGAAAATAGAACACTGCTTGGAAAACCTCACAAATCCAGCTCCGAACATCATCCTGCTTGGGGACTTCAACCTACGGCACCTGAAATGGAAGCACCTGGCTAATACAGTAATATCAGAAAGAATACCAGGAAGTAGCCTAAATGAACAGGCACATGCAAATGACCTGCTACGGATGTGCGACAGGTTTGCCTTAAACCAGCAAATAGTAGAACTAACTAGGAAGGAGAACACGCTGGACCTCATTTTCACTAATAATGATGAATTGATCAGGAACATAATGATTACAAATACCTGTTACTCAGATCACAACTTAATTGAAGTTATGACAACCATGGGGAGTAGACCTTCAAAACCAGTCCAGATTCCCGGTGGAGGAGATTTCAGCAAATTCAACTTCAATAATAAACAGATAAACTGGGAGCGAATAAACCAGGACTTCACAGAAATAAACTGGGAAGAACAGCTAGGAAATGCAAACCTGAACCAGTGCCTGGAAAAAATAAGCTCAGTAGCACTAGAAATATGTTCAAACCGCATACCTCTAAGAAAAAAGAGGAAGAGATGCAGATTGGAACGGGAACGTCGTTCCCTATATAGGCGAAGAAAACGAATCGCGGAACAACTTGAGTCGCACCCTATCTCGAGAACGGCGAAGAAGGTTAGGTAGAGAAATAGAAACAATTGAACGGAAGCTACAAGAATCATACAGAACCCAGGAGAGGCAAAGAGAGCAAAAGGCCATCAGTGAAATAGAAAGAAATCCGAAATATTTTTTCTCCTATGCAAAATCAAGATAAAAAACCACATCTAGTATCGGGCCCCTGCGAAAGGGAGATGGAACTTTCACCGATGACAACAAAGAAATGAGCGAGCTACTGAGGACGCAGTACGACTCTGTTTTCAGCGAGCAATTAAACGCACTAAAGATTGATAACCCAAATGAATTTTTCATGGATACGATACCAACATCAAATCATATATCAGACGTCAC